TGTACCTCATTTTTGATCTTTTAGGCTGTAAGTCCTGTCGAGATGCGAAGGTATGTAAGGTCGGCAGTTGTACCAACTCGACACTTCCATGTCTTACGGTGTCCGTGAGAAAAAGACGTGCCTCTCAAATAGGGTTGAAAATCAGACACCACCACTTACATCGTAAATAAACTTTCTCGTAATTTCTACAATCCTTCTACGAGGAGTGCGAGAGGAAGGAGGATGACAGTGGTGTAGACACCGCATTAGAAAGTTAACCCTTAGAGCTCACATTGATTTACCACTTCATCGCGCTGGCTGTCTTCTGCCAGTAAGGTGAGTACCTTATCTCTCTGAAGAGGCAACAAGGAGGTTTCATGGCACCAAACATCACGCCGATGTCACCAGTCTTCGTTTGTCATGAGGTGAGGAGGACTGCTTAAGGCCGACTGCATTTACTTTCAGTCCTATGTTAATGACAAATGCAAAGTTTTGTCAATTAAATTACAAAACAACGAAGACTACTTCTCAAGGTTTGATTGTTTTTGGTCGGACTCGGGGGAGATGAAAAGCACTCGGGCATTGATAGTGCGGGAGGACAACTCGTAGGTAGTCGGCGTGTCGTCCAGATCACCGATGCCAATTTCCATTGCCTTAAGTACATATTGAAATTCTTCAGGCTCCCAACAAATATATAAGCCATGCTCCTCTCTTTCCCCTTCCATTGCCTGAGTTTCGGGAAGAGAAGTGATCCACAGCATCTTGGTCTTGTGATACCGCCAACCTCGATTGTATCTGAAGGCACAACACAATCATTATTGCTTTCTCTGCTGGCTCTTTGGCCAAACTGGACTTCAGTCGTTAAGATTTATTAGGTGGAAATGCATGACGACGAGACGAAAGTGAGGGGCGAAGACTCACAGCTCCTTGGCCGCTACTAGTTGCGCCTCCTCGCTACAGAAGCTGTAAAATATCCAAAATAGAATTCGATTTGTGAGCAATGCCAGTTGGGGATCTGCTGGAAGTCGACCCTGAAGTCGATGGCTGATTAGATATTCTGGAGGCACCTTGTGTTCTACGTCCTGAGGTCCCAACCTCATCCGGTCGGAGAGGGGAGAAGTGAACACGTCGTGAAATTTCCTACAAAAAAACCAACAGTTAGGCACAAACCACCTCTGCTACTACAGAGTCATCATGAATGGAATCACTCTCCTCACACATGTAGCATAATGTAAGAATTTGCAAATGGTCCTTTGAAAACCTACTCCTTGCCTTTGCAGCCGAATAGTGGGCTGTATTTAAGTCGCTCCACTGCCTCCATGTAGCCAGCAGAAAATGACTATTTGCGGGACGCTGGTATGAAAATGACAGGGAAGTTGACAACGCGCGAAATCAGCAAGAAAGCAACTACCGGTCTGGCTTTTCACCAATCCCATTCCAAACTAGAAGTCGGTTGGGAGGGCGGTAGTGGCCTTGATGAGTGGCGAGTTTTTGCACCTTTTACAAGGGCCAAATGTCTTTCCTTCAAGTTTATTGTTCCACTTTTGTCCAACATTTAGTTACCAACGTGGCCAAAGCCACGGCCAACTCGATGATCAATTTGACTCAGCCCAGTTCTGAGCGATTATGAAATAGTACGTGAAATGAGGTGATGCTGACAACATCGGATTTACAGTAGCAGTGTGATTTCATCATCACACGGTTTACTAACAAAGAAAGAATAATACGAGGCTTCCGGAAGTAAGCTCGAGTGAATAGCGCCTCCTAACATCAAAGGGAAAGAAGGGCATCATGCATGAAGTCTCGCAATGGGTCGCCATTATTAAAAAGGCAGTTAAGGCGGCCTTGATTACCCAAACGCTGTTTTTTTCCAGTCAACGCATTTGGCATGCACTTGTAACGAGTCCACTTTAAATTGAAGAACACATCCATCAAACACACTGATATTGGCACTTAAGCACAAAAGTAGGGAGAAATAGGCAGTGCAAAAGGGAAAAATAAAGTACAACTGCTTACCCTGATGGAGGAAAATATTTGCTGTCCACTGATTTCAAATCGAAACCGGGAGCGTAGTGCCTAAGTGAAGAATCTATTTTGGTGAGGCTGAGAAGACCAAGCATTCCATATGGGTTATCCATTAGATCTTTGAATTTGCTGCTTTCAGTCGTTGGATCCTCGAGGTCAATTGGAAGTGGCTCACTGACATTGGATTTGTTGACCTTTCGCTTTCGTCGCTTCTTTTTGCGTGCTTTGGAAGAAGAGTATGCTGCTGCGGCAACAAGTGTATTTGTAGTGGTTGAAGGAGACGATGGGACTGCGGTACCTTCGCTAACGTCAGATTTTGTAGGAGTCAGAGGAGAGGATGAAACATCAGAATTTGGGCTAATGTTGGGTTTCGAAGGACTTTGTATTTTGAATGCCATTGCTGCGACCTTATTATAGGGGGGACTTTTGCCAACACCCAGCCATAATTTAGCACTTGATGGGATGGTGCCAGCAGTACTCGTGGAAGGCAGAGATGGCGAAGATGGAGTACTTTTGCTAATAGTAGGTTTCAAAGGACTTTGCACATTGGGTATCGAGAATGCAGTTCCAGTGTTGGCATCACCTTTTACAGTGATAGGTGGTGGATCGCTTCTCTGTATTTGAGAGCCGGCGAGAGTTTTCCTTCGCGACTTCTTC